AAAAAAAAATAATTTTTTATTGTCAAATATTTAAAAATAAGTTACTTTTTTAGAATTAAAATATCGATTACTTCAAATATGAACAAATGCTTTTTTACTTAAAAACAATAAAAAATCAGTATCCAAATATATAGTCGGGTAAAAAATTACTTAAAATTAATTTCACTTTTTTAGACTAGTCTAACATGTAATACTACCATTCGCAAGTGATATTTAGCCCTATTCGATAGAGATTAAAATTAAATTTTTAGTAAATTTTGATAAAAGATGATAAAATATGTAATTCAAAAATAGTGGTGATTAAAATAAATTATTAATTTTACCATCAAAAAATTGATAATTATAATAACAAGAAAAGTAGGTTTTAAGGAGACTGACTAGGATCAGATGTGACTACACGAGCAGTGCCAGAAAAATCACAAGCGCTAGCAGCTTGGGCTTTCCTTTGAAAATAACTGTTGACAGCGTAGTTACAGTGAGCTTTAACTGTGTTAGGGATGAAACAAGCTCCATTTTGACGAGTGGCAGTGCAATCAGCACCATTTCCACAGGCATAATCCAGGGTTTTCTGCAAAACTGCTTCACTGACTCCCTCCTTGCAAATGCACCATGTGGATGCAGTAGCACCTACCAAAAGGTTCGAATACATATGAAGGATAAAATTTGGAGAAAATGGAAGTGAAATGGTTTACTTACTTGAATTAGAAGCCATAGCCAAAATGAGCAGCAGAAACAGTACTAAACCAGCCATGGATGAGGACGAGATGAACAAATTTTAACTGAAAACCCTAAAATTTGCAGCTTAACAGAAAGAGAAGAGGGGTTGGAGAGAGAGTTTGTGTGTCTATGGTATATATATGCCAGAGGGAAAAAGTGGTAGACGCAGAAAGGATTAGATGCAGGTGGTGGTGAGACGGTTTGTTAAGACTTAGGGTCCATCTTAATAAGGTCAACATTGTTAAGATAACTGGGTCAAAATCTATTTAAGTTGGCCAATATTTTGATATTTAATCGATGTGAGATTTATTCTCTTAATATGCCTCGCAAGATAGTGGCTCTTTTTGAGCAAACCAATTTTAAAATCCATGTGCTCATTTTTTAAATTTAATCTGATCAAATAGCTCGTTGGAGTTTACTGAGCTCTGATACCATGTTAAAACTTGAGATCCATCTTAATAAGGTCAACATTGTTAAGAGGAGTGACCCAAGATCTATTTAAGCTGGTCAATATTTCGATATTTAACCAATGTTAAATTTATTCCCTTAATACGATTTTGGCTAAGCTGGTACACCGTGCCAGGCTCGGCAGTAGCCCAAAGCCAACTAGGCAATGGCACCTCTAAATTTGAGGGGCCTTGTAATAAAAAAATGTCTCGGAATCTGTCCACAATCTCACATATATTATTGTACGGTCAATTAAAGGACATACTCGTGACTTTTCAATAAAAAAGTCTCATAATAATTAGTCGTTTAGAACCTCGATCAAAACTCTAAGGGCCGACCCTGCTCCGTGTCCGTTTCGTAAAATTCACAATTTTAATTTACTTTTTAATTATATATCTCTTGAGATTCACTAATTATAATCAATTGTAATTTTTGACAAACATGTACTTATATTGTGATTTACCCTATTAAGTACCTTGTTTTATTTTCTTTTTAACCTTTCTATATTTCTTTACCTTTGGTGTCGGTTTGTGAATACTCTCTCTCTTCTTGAAAACTTTTTCTTTAGCGAGAAAGAAGGAGTAGTATCTTTAGCTTGGAGCACTATTACCAGCGCAATGAGGGGAAGAAATTGCGGCATTTGGAAAATCAATAAGGTTATTATTATTCTTTTACTACTTCATAAAAATTGCACATAAAATAGAAATAATGGGAATCAATAACATTTGAGACAAGATAAAAAACATTCTCCGACTTCATGACAAATCAGAGACAAATCCTCATGCTTAAAAAAATCATACTAACCTCCTCTATTTCAAGTTTTGAGCATCAACAAATTTTTTTTTTTTTTTAAATTAAATTTTAAGTATGCATATTCAAAATTATGCATGCACAAAGTTTATAAGTATTAGTTGCGATGAAAGATCTAGTGTACACTAGGTCCAAATCTGCAGTTCGGAGGAGCCGATAGTTTTATTCCTACGTCACGAGACATTTGTTATGCACGCGATGCTTTTTCGTATGCACACGATGATATGGATGGAGGATTAGATTTACTAGGGTTTGGTTATGGACAAATTGAGGGATGTGATTATGAGAGTAGCCATGAGCCAATTTTTTTTTACGCATTTTGCATAATGACGAATAGTATGACAAGTGTACTTGACATATAAACTTGTTATTTTACTCTTTTGACTCCCGATTGTTAATTTATCTTTAAATATTGAATCTACGTTGATTGGATGTTAGATTTTATGTCCCTTTTTAAAGTTGTCATATTATTTATTGGGCTTTGCTATTTATACATTCGTCAACCTTTGCGGGCCCTCCTCTTGTAAGGTGACTGTCATTCGAGGTGTCAACCCCAAATATATACATAGCAAAACTCTTATTTATTTGCTTATGCTACTTTCTTTTTCTAGGTTGGAAAGCTTTTTGTTATCTTATTTAACATATTCTCTTTTCCAACCTTAATACAAAATAGACATTGACCCAGGAAAAATGGATTATTGAGGTCTTTAAATAATAATTATTAATAGAGAAAACAAATTAAATTGCAACTAATAGTAGAAAATTTTATTTTCTTCTCCTACAAAGGCATTTTATATATATCAAGATAATACATTTTAAGCATTTTAGTATTAATTTTTAAACATGAGGATCTATCTTTGATATTTTCATAAAGCTTAAGAGGTGCCTCTGATATTGTCTCGTATTATTTTATTTAAGGCTAAGTTTTCATTACGATTTATGGAACATAAAAAATCGAAAATATTGAAAAATTTAAATGGAAATCATATCCACGAACAGAAATATGAAAATAAATTTTAAAAAAAGTAGAAAAAAAAATCATTCGTAATATTTGTGTGAACAAAAACATGATTATGTACAAGTTAATTAAAAAAAATGGAAAAACTCACTATTTTGAATACGATCGTCATCTTTTTCGAGTCGCATACAAAAACATAGTTGGTTTTAAACTATGGTGTTAGTTATTATAATTGTCTTTTGTTTTGTTTAGATGAAATTTCAATACAGGAATAGTGGAGGGTCCTACAAAATATATGAATAAAAAGTGGGTGCAGTAGACCCCCTCCGACTAGGTCCAGTTATAAGGAGGCTTCATTACTTATAGGGAAAATTATAGCAACTGGCTGAACACCCTTCATTACCGATCGTCAGATGATGATTTTTTATTTTTAATTAATTATTTTAATTATTTACTATGAGAAAATTGGAAAGTTACGATTTTGCTATTTAAAATTGATTAAAATTCATTTTTCTTGATTAACAAACGGTTAAATGGATATCCATTTATACCTGCAAATTTTTAAAAGGTTTGAAATTATGGTTAGTACAAATCAAATATTAGGGCAAAATTTGCAAATAACCCAAAAATTTAGGACTGTTGCTGCAATTTTTCCTAAATCATAAATAAACTTCGAAGAATTTTCTTTTCAACTACCACAAGGGTGAGTTTTTTTACAAAAAATAAAAATAAAATAAAGCAAATCATATAAATTTTGAAGGGGGCAAAGATATACTCTTTCAGAAGCAAATACAAACTAAAGTAATCTAACTAATTGTAGTTAAAAGAAAAGGAAATTTTCTACTTTAAATAAATTCCTTGAAAAATATAAATGGTGGATCTTTATAAAGCTAATAACCGCATAAGAGCAGGCACTGAAAGAATGGGCAGATTCTCATCCCTTCGGAAGATTACATGAATAGGAATTTATTCCAGCTCTTAAATGTGCTGCCTTTGGAAAGTTTCCACTTTTGATTGCTCAAGAAAAGAGCTTTGGATCAAAAGTAAGTGCAAGGAAGTGTTAGAAGTATAACACGTTGTGTTACGGGTATTTGCTGTTACCGTCACCTACCATAAATAACCACCTCATCAATATCGCGACCACATACAAAACAATCACTCAACCCAAACATCATCTCACCATCATCACCATTTCAAAACCCATGCCCCTAATGTACCACCATCATCGCTTCCTCCACCACCACCACCACCAAGCCAAACATCGAGAGGCTCCTACAATCGCAAATTTGATTGTATGCAAATGCAACATCGTAAAGAGTACAAAAGATGGAACCTTTTTGTACTCATTACTCAACATTTTATCCACGTCTCGTAAACTTGTAACCATTACCTGCTTTGCAATCTTAATTTTACTTTAAACATTCCTGAACAAGCACTTAATTTTCAACCTCGTAACCATTAAGCCTAGTTCTACCTTCTAAAAGACAAGAAACCCATCAATGCCCTAAGCCACCACAAAAAGAAACTTAACAAATAAAACTATTTACTAGAAAATATATGGACAATATCCATTTACATTATATCATAAGAAGGGAATATGAAAAGATCGTTAAGGTTATTTTGGCAATGTTTTTTCAATTATTTTCTTCTTCAAACAATTTGTACACCATCTTTCTTTTTAAAATTATTTGTAACCCTATTTATAACGCCTTCGTCTTTCTACGGGGCAAAAGTTATTTACAACTTATAATTCATAAGGATATGCTATTGACATGCTTTCTTAATGTGTAACTCTCGAACTATAGTTTGAACCTAATGGCAACAAAATGCATTATAAGTTTTAATGTCCTGCTACATAGGACTCATTATGAACAACACACAAAACACATATTTAGGTCGAATACGATATACAAGAAAAACCTCATCATCTCATCACCATCAACTGTTGTTTCTTTGATTCTCAACTTCCATACAAGATTTTCGACAAAAGTTTACTCGATCATCCCATCAATCATCCCGTCGTCATCAACTATTTCTTCGATCTTCAACTTCTTTACTACCTGGGCAGCATCACTTCTTGAACCATTTGGAATTTCAATTAATATATCTGATTTTTCACCCGTTGCAGCATTAACAAGCCCTCCATTCTTCTCTACTCGGTACGTCAACTCTTTTCCATCAAGTGACGCATCTATATATACAGTTGAGTTCTCATCGATCTCCTCCTTCACAAGCATTTTCGACAATTCGGTTACAACCCTTTTCTCCAACCATCTCCTTATAGGTCTTGCACCATACACCTAGTATTATTAAGCCATGCGATTAGATTTCCATTAGAAAAGAAAGTCAAAAATAAGTTGAAAGTGCCCACTGATGATACTTATACTTACAGGATCATAGCTTTCAGCTAGAATGACATCCAATGCTGCTTCGCTCACTCCCAAGGCGATACCACGCTCTGCCAAGCGACTGGCAACGTCTTTCAGCTGAAGACGGCACACTTTCCTCAATTGATCGTGAGAAAGAGGATCAAAAACCACGATCTCATCGAGCCGATTTAGCAACTCCGGCTTGAAATGCTTTCTCACCTGATAAAAAATACGAATTAAGTAACCATTCTGGAAATGTTGTTCTAGTTTACAGTAGAAGAATGAAACACTTAAGGAGTACCTCTTGCATAACCATCTCGCGCGCACTTTCCATAGTACACTTGCCCATTAGTCCTCTTAAAAGATACTCAGCTCCAAGATTTGATGTCATAATGATAACGGTGTTCGTGAAGTCCACTGTTCGGCCTTGTCCATCGGTTAACCTTCCGTCATCTAAAACTTGCAGCAAAGTATTAAACACTGTTGGGTGCGCTTTCTCGACTTCGTCAAAAAGAATAACGCTATAAGGACGTCTCCTTACTGCTTCCGTCAGTTGCCCACCCTCCTCATGGCCAACATAGCTGAAAATTTAAAACTATAGT